TCCCCCCTGGAGCCCCCTCCCCCTTTCTCTGTCTCTCTCCTCCGTTCGGGTCCGACCCGACACGACCCGATCCCTAGGCGCGACCCGGCCGGACCTTTGCCCTCTCTTCTCGCCTCTACGCCCGCTTTGTCGCCCGCCGTCTTCACGTGCTTACAACACTCTCTCTTACCGCCCCTATTCGTCGTCTCCGTTACCACTCACTCGCACGCTTCTTCGGCGTCCACACCCGCCCCGGCGTCCCCTCGGAATTCCGAAATAACCGACGTAGAGTTTCCGCGCACGGTCCTTCCTCCACCTCCCTCCGTCGACTCCTACTTCGGCACCGGCGGTGAACCATCGCCCCGCTCCTTCCACGTAGACTCGCAGCCGCGAGACACGCGTTGGTTTGTGAAACCGGCTTGAAGGACACACGCATACGTAGGCAAACACATACACACCGACCGGCAAGGCGCGCGCGCGCTCGCTCGCACACCCTCGACGGCGACCAACTGCAGCCTGTGTGTAAAAGAAGAGAGATACTCGTTGAAAAGCGCGCGGCTAGAGTGCTGCACACTCCTGGCCGACGTTTAGCTTCGAAGGCTTTCAAGCTTTGCCAGACTACTACCACTACTACCGCTGCTGCTGTTACTACTACTACTACCACTATTACTACTACTACTACTACGCTTTCCGAGTGCGCCGCGCGAAGATCGAAGGAGGGACAGAGGAAGTAGAGTGAAGGAGGAGTCGATAGAGAGATCGACGACCTTCGCCGTCGTCTTATCACCGAGCCAAGGAGCGGCCGTCATCTCGCCTAAAACCGGCCGGAGCCTAATCGCTGTCGATATAGCTTCACCTCTTCGCTTCTTCTTACTCCGGTGAGATATCTCTCTCCATCCCTGTCCCGCCCGTCCCCCCGCGCCAGCAGCTTTCGCCCTCTCGGAGATTATCGAGCGGGTAACGCGTGTGCCATCGCCTCCTTCACACGGCCTACGAGCAAAGAGTCGCAAAATCGCTAACCGTCGACGACGACGCCTACGTAAGTCCGCCGCACTTCTTGGGCTAACTCGCCGCGACGGAATCGATATCGGGCGAGAGAGCGTGCGAGAGAGTGGAGCAGCGACGTCGATAAGCCACGCTCGAAACAGCCGACGTCGTCGCTGATAAACGCGAGTCCCGCGAGACGGTTATATTCGCCTCGCGACTACCACGAGGAAGAGGGCGACGCGCGGGTTCCGAGAGGGAAGGTCGAGATCGCGACGCCGAGTTCCACGCGGAAGATCCACGACGACATACAGGAAGAAGCCGCGGGTCGTCGCGCGTTCATGGGACACTAAGTTCGTCGCATCGCGCTTAAACGGCAGATCCTCTTCTTTGCCGTAAGGTACACAGTCTGAAGTAGTTGCACGACTCCGCGGGATTTCGGTTGGGTGTGCGAACAGTGAAGAGAGGGAGAGAAAAGGAGAGAGAGGAGGGGTGTGTGAGTGTGTGCGAACGTGTTTGAGCGAGCGAGTGGGGCGTGAAAGAACGAAAGAGAGAAAGAGAGGGAGAGATTGACGACAGGTGAGAGTGGTGGAACGCAAGGGTTCACTGTTGGGCACCGCGAAATCCCGGGAACGAGTGCCGACGAGCCGTCGCGCGAGGTGGTCGTACTCCATAAATCGAAACGTGTATATCCTTGGCAAGATCAGTTCGATCGACGTGAGTGAACGCGACCAGAGGGAAGGAGACCTCGACCACGAGGAAAGGAAGGTTTAGGAAGGAAGAGAGAGATAGAGAGAGATAGGAGAGGGAGATCGGTGTAGTCGGTGGTCGTAGAGTCGGACTACTCGTAGAGGTCAGCGACGGGGATACTCGGTCTTCCAGGAGTGGAAGAATGGCAATGGTCAACATGACTAGCCTACTGAACGGCAAGGACTCGCGGTGGCTGCAGCTAGAGGTTTGCAGGGAGTTCCAGCGCAACAAGTGCACCAGGCCCGACACGGAGTGCAAGTTCGCCCATCCGCCAGCTAACGTCGAGGTGCAGAACGGACGGGTCACCGCCTGCTACGACAGTATCAAGGTAACGAACCGTTGCATAATCGAGTTTTCGTAGTCGCGTAACGAGCGCGTTCGCGCGTTGCGAAATCGCCGCCGCTCTCGGCGCGCGTCCCCTCATAAACTCCCTCTTCACTTATCTACCACCTTCGGGGAATCGACGAAAGAGCTATCTCCGCTATTCTCTCACGATGTACGTTCCGTTTTATCTATGAAATGTCAATAACCGTGACAAACAAAGAACGATGCGCGTGTCCGTCACGATGACGGGATTTCGAAGCAGCCGGAACATTTTCACCATCTTGTCGGATAAGTCAAGTTGCAGTGTACTCTTGAGCGTTTCTTTTGTTTTATCTTTTTTTTTTTTTTTGTTTACGACGAGCGTCGCGCAGTTTCGATGAGACAAAAAAACGTTAAAGTCTCGGCAGAATGGTCGACTTGTAATTTTAAGGGCAGCGCTTTATGCTCAAAATACTTATCTAAATTATCAGTTGTTCGCTTTTTTTTTATTGCACAACGGTTTGACCGCATACAGAACGACTTTTTAGTTCGGGGGCAGCACAGTCTCATTGCGCGTTACTTAAAGGCACGAGACATTCGTCTTAAACCGAGATAAATCAGCCATTTTGTTAAGGCCCTGCAGCTATCTCGCTGTAACGATCACGGCCGATGTAGACTCTACTGCTCGTCTTGCTCGTCGTTTCGCAGAGAAACGCTACCGATTTCGCGAGAGACCCGCCGGTAAAAGTGCGCTTTGATCTCTCTCGCGTGCCATTAAAATACCGTAAGACGAGAGACGGGTAGATCGCGCTGTCCGGGGCTAAAGCCCCGCGCGGATTACCTCTTCCGACGCGTGAAACGCGCGAGGATCCCTTTGCTATCGCGCTGCAGAATTATCCTTGTGCGCGCGGGGCTGGCTCTCTTCCCGCCTCGCTACAATCGGTCGAAATGAGCGCACGCGTGCGTGGGATCGCGCCGATCGATCTCGCGCGCCCTCCGACTGCTGATCTCGCCGATACAAAGCCGATAATTTGTAACGTCACGCGGCGAGATAAGGAGAACCGGTTGTAACTTACGACGGGTAATAAGTCTCCTATCGCCGCGATCGGGCGCGCGCTCGGAGGGACGCCGGTTTATGGATTTTAGAATATTCCATCGCGCTCTCGGGACGTAAGCGCGCCCGTTTTCCTCGGCGAGGCAGGGCGCGATTAAACGAACGCGCGCGCGGGCAAGAGGGTGGAGACGGCGGAACGAGGCGCGGCCCGTCTTCCGAGCGTCTCGCCTGCGCGAGATATTGAACCGGAGAATTGAATTCGCAGTTATTAATAGCGACAATTATTCAACGCGCGGGAAGCGAGAATACCAATCGACATTGGCGATAAATCAGACGGGTTCGCGAGGGTAGGAGACTGGCGAGCATTATGTAAAAATTGCAGACTCTCGAAAGGACGTGCGCGCACCGTCGCCGACGGCGACGACGTCATCGTCGTCGTCATCGATGGTGCCGTATTGTCTGATTGCACTTATACACGCACGTTCGTGATTAGATAAAACGGGGGAGAATCGCTTATACGTATGACGCGCGCGCAAAGGCGTGGCAGTGTAATAGCGAATACGTATAGCGACGTGTGTCGTCGATATATATATCCTTTCGCGGCTCCGTCGTTATCTTCTCTTTCGCGATAATCTTGGCTTATACGAGTACGCGAAGTCGCGAGATAACGGTAAGGCATAATGTATGTACTTTTTTCATGGATACGCGAGGAGACCGCGTTTTTACACGGAATTTTCGACTTCGCGACCGATGAATGGCGCTTTATCAACGTCGGTTACACTAGTCAACAAATTTTTACTTTTTTCTATGTATCCGCAATGTGAAATACATGTTCCCAAATGGTTTTTGTTTCATTCGATACGAATCCGTTGTCCAAATTTGGTTGTTGAGTCAATTTTCCGAAAAATCAGTCAGAGGCCGGAAATGTCATTTTTGAGGATTTTCATGATATCGTAGCACCAACAACAAATATTTTCCTAAATTTCGATAATGGTATGCAAAAATATCAGCTTTTAGTTTTAACATGCATGTCGTTGCGTATCGTTTAATTTTTTGTTTTCAAAATATACTTAAAAATACGAACACTCGCACACGCTCGACATCAGTATCATGTTGAGCTGAATTTTGGACACGAGAAATCATATTGAAACGATACAAAATATATTTTAAAACTAAAAGTTGATACTTTTGCGTGGCATTGACGAAATATAGGAAAAAAAATTTACTGCCCGTGCTACAACGTCATGAGAAATTTCAAAATTAACGTTTTTAGCTTCTGATGTCATTTTCTCAAAATTGTGACCCAATAGTCATATTTGGACAACAAATTCGTGCTCAGCGGACGAAAATCGTTCGGGAACACCTATTTTCGCCCTGGATACAGAAACCTTGTTGACTAGTGTTATTGACTATCGTGCGCTGTCGAAACTTCGCTTCGACGAAACGTCGATAAGAAAAAAGCCATCGTTAAATATTTCATGCCGACAGAAATTTGTGCAAAGAGTTCAATCAATTTGCTTTGTACTGCGGACTGGTCGAAAATTTTTCCTCGAAATTATGGAATTATCAGAAAATAGGGACAGAGAAAGTTGCGCGTCTGAATATATCACGTAATATTTAACGTCGTACTTAGCGTCACTCATCGTTAATCTTTATTACGTCATAAATTAATAGTCAATTAATATCTACACAGCGATGAATTACCGAAATGAAATTCTCGTATTGTTATTTATTGCTGCATCATCATTGGGACCGATCGAGCACTCGAAACGTTCTTATGCCCCATTAATCATTCCACGGGATGCTTCATCTTTAGTTTGCGATCCGGTTTGTATCCGATTAAAATCAAATTCCCGTTGAAGGACGGTAGTTCCGTAATTACATTTTTCACCTAATTTCCGCCGAGAAGAAAGAAGTTCGTCCTGAATTCGTCGTGCAGCCTGGTCATTACTACTTGCACTAATAGCGCGTGCTCCGCTTGAAGGAGCTTCTTGCGACCGCGGCTGTTAATTTTCGCCTCATGTGCTTATGCGCGATGTTGCCCGTCAGTTTTTAGACTCGGCCACATGAACATACGCATGCATATGAGGAATACGTGATTAGATAGCAAGTGGCAAAAAGATAACGTCCACAGGGAGCGGCTTGCCGCCATATCGTCTGAATATTCTCGAGGTGCGCTCACGGTCGATTCGTTTCGCGCGTACAAACACACACACACACACGCGCGCGCGCGGAGAGCAATGCACAATCGTGCACACGAGTCGTGGCGAGGGCAGAGCCGCATTTAATTCTGGAAGCTATTAATGTCGCTGGTAGTGCCTGAAAGGCCGCGTTGTCCGTCGAACTTTGGTCGTTTCTTTGCCTCTCCGCTCCTCGCACGTTCTTCCTCGATAATGCCGCTCGTTACGTTTAATCGCTCCAGATGAATGGAGCGACGCGCGCGCGTACGCATATACGCGCCGTAGCTTTAATATAAAGTGGTCCAAAAGCGACAAACGCGTTCGCGAGCATATTCGGAGTAGCGCTGTTAATTTCGAGTACCTGGGTCTTTCAGTAACTGAGTGTACGGCTGTCCGACTAGAAGTTTGTTCCGTGGTCCAGTTCGGGTTGACCTTAACTGGTTGTTGGGTTCATCTAAGGTTATACTATCGGATCTTAAGAAGTCATGTAACACTGCGTGGTGGTCAGGTTCTTAGTCAGGATTCATCNATCAATAAAATATAAAGAAAATGCGTAATATTCTTTGTTTGTGAGCGAATGCACTCACTTTCTCGCGTGCAATGCTCCGCTGGATCTGCCCAGCGCAGGGCACGGAATGCAAGGAAGGATCGGTGTGGTGATGGAAATTCTTTGCAATCGAGCTGCGGTTGTGCAATGGTTTATTCTTCTGTTAAGCCAGAATGGCGATCTGGCCTTTACAATGCAGGCGTGATGATGTTCTTCCTTTTCTTGTGCCACGCGCAACCGCGGTTACAAGACGCAACACGATTCAAGTCGACGATCACAACGTTCAAAATTACAAATATGATTAAATGAAGACCGACAATCACTCGCGAAGTAGTCGCGAGGCCGCGAAAGATGTCTCGTAACGAGATAAAGAGAAAACGTGAGATTGATGTCTCGCACGGACGGTTGACCCGTAGCGAGCCGAGATACGCGAAAAATTAGAACCGAACAGCTTGTTCTAATTTCGATTCGAAAAGTCTCTCTCGCTGAGAGTTCGCTTAACGTTTTTTCAACGGTCTCTCGTGCTCTCAAGGCACCTAGTTTATATACCGGTATAACGTGGTTTTTTTTCTTTCAGCGGAACGAATAGATTGATCGACCTTCGATCGGACGAAGCCTTTTCGATCATGTTTTGGATACGATGTGACAATTCGGTGTTCTTCTATCCGAACATGTGATGAGATACGCGTGTTTCATGTTTACTTATGTTCTTGTTGTTTAGAGATCGTTTGCCGCATCATTCTCGGCTCACATGATGAGCATGATAACATTAACGATTTCAATTCGAATTTTTAACAATCATAATGTCCTCATTAGGTTATACTGAATTTCTATCACGTTTTATCTCAAGGATTATGATTAAATTAGGATTTATAAAGAGCAACGAGTGCTAAACTAATAAAAAATACTTACAAAATACAAATCAAAGCACAACTAATGTTAGAATTGGGCGATTTTCGACTTTAATAGTGCAAAAACTGAAATATTTTCTCATAGAAAAAATTATAAAAATAAATTTTAGTAATCAAACCTATTATATACTAACTTTTCCTACAAAAAATCCGTACTAGAGACTAATAATCATAATAGGTAAAGTGAGTAAGCTGCCCCGAAAAAGACTTGATCAATAAAATTTTATAAAATAATACATTAGGACAATAATACATTAAAATTCTACTATGTACTTAATCATTATAACTTTACAAGAGTTTTCCTTATTCGATTTTTACCAGTACATAATTAGG